AAATTTAAAAAAATTACGTTAAAATTATTTAAATTAATAATAATTTTTTAAATATCTAAATTTTAAGTTAGACAGATTTATGTCAAAAGATATTAAATGATGGTGCGTCAGTACACCAATAGCAGCCATCTCATATTAATTAAAATCGAACCTTTGTGCAATTAGAACCTGTGATTTTGTTTCTGAAAACTAGTTTCTATTTGTAAATTTAAAAATTCAATAAAAATAATAGAAAAATACCTGAAACTTTCAGATTTTCCATTACGCCCAGAGGGGTGATTTTTTTTAACGTTTTATGTGTTACCTTTATTCATTAAATAACATGTTCTTTGCACTTAAAATATAAAATTCAATTCAACAGCAATATCGCAAAATAATTTTTAAATGAACATATCATTAGAATTTCTGATACAGTCTCGCGCGCTGGAGTTCAATTTTTTTTTTTTTTTTTTTTCGTACAGTGCTGCCATTGATCGCTTTGAAATGGTTGAGTTTCAGAAGTCAAACAACAAAAATCAGCGTTATATTTTCAAATTTTCGCAGAACTAGTTTCGATGGTTTTACCGAACCACCATCGTCAGCTGCAAAAGCGCAAATGGCTGCAAAAGCACGCAGCTGACGATGGTGGTTCGGTAAAACCATCGAAACTAGTCCTGTGAAAATTTGAAAATATAACACTGATTTTTGTTGTTTGACTTCTGAATTAGTATTCGTTCGGCGTGTTATTGTGTATTAATCGTTGAGTTTGTTAATCAAAAATTAGTTAAAGTATAACAAAATATGAAATCGATAGTAAAACAAATTTCAAATTCCAAATTAGGGCTTCCAGATGCCCCTATTTAGTGGAAGATTACGTTATTCAGAATTGGATGGCTCTAGGTACCGTTGTTTTACCATAGTGCGAGAAACATACATACATTTATGTATGTATGTTTCTCGCACATTTTATTTACATTCTTCATTATTTAAATTCCTTAAATATAACACAGGGCGCTAATATTCGGTGGCAACAATTTGAAAAGTGAACCCACATTTCAACGCAAAATGTCAAAACGAAATTAATAGTTCTTCCGGGTAAATTGCCCCTTTGAACTAAAAATAGAGTGCTAGAAATTGAGAAGTTCGCGAAGTGAATTATTTTTCGCCCAAGATAAATTTAGAATTTCTCCGTAAATTTCGCAACAAATATTACAAAATTTTATGTTTAGGCATAATTTGAGTCGTAGAACCGAAATATGGAAAAAAATTGACATGTCATATTAGATAAAGTCCGATTTCGTGTCAAAATACCAATCTTAAAACAATGCTCTATATAAATCTGATATACAGTGGTGCCTCGCATAAAGAACGCCTCGCACAGCGAATGCTGCACACAACGAACTTCATTTCATGATTCATACAATGAACTTCGTTTCACACAACGAAGTTGCCCGAGCTTCCACGACCGCTTCGCCCGAGCTTCCACGACTGCTTCGCCCGAGCTTCCACGATCGCTGCCGATGTATTGCATCCTTTCGCGTAAGACCACCATTTTCACCATTTTGACAAATAAGGATGCAATCAAATCAGCCAAAGTAGCCAAAGGAGTATCAAAACTATTTCATGAAAAAACATAGGTCTTCAATCCACGAGGAAATTGAGAGGCTATTAGCGATTTGGATTAAGGACAGGCAGGTGAAAGGTGACGTAACAACCCAAGATATTATCTGTCACAAAGCCAAGAGAATTTATGACTATCTAAAGAAAAACGTCCCTGGAAGTAGCAGCAATCAAGATAATGAAGAAGAATTCAAAGCCAGCAGGGGGTGGTTTTTTAGATTTAAGAAGGTGTGGAATCCACAGCGTTAATATGCATGGTGAGGCTGGCAGTGCTGACAAAAAAGAAGCAGAAAAGTTCTCTATTAAAAAAATGTATTAAGGATGAAGGATACTGCCCACAACAAGTGTTCAATGCCGATGAAACGGGTCTTTTCTGGAAAAGAATGCCGAGCAGAACTTTCATTACAAAAGAGGAGAAGAAATTGCCGGGTCACAAAGCCATGAAGGACATACATGAAGGACAAGTTGTTAAAACGAATAAGGCATGTTTCAAATGTTTGTCCCCTGAATGTAATGCAAGAAATTGCTCAGTGAGAGATTGCTTCTGTGGCCAACCACATAATAAATTAATTCATTTTTCAAGACAAAGTAAAAATAAGCCCGATTGCAAGACTTCATCGAATGTCCTTGAACTGCAGACCGGAAATCAAATTGGTGAAAGTGCAGTTTTTTCCCCCACGCATGAGTCAAACGTGAATAAATCTGTCGTCGCCTCTAGTTTTGCGAAAGATAACGCAAAGAATGTTTTACAGAGTACAGTTCGAGCATTAATTAAAAATAACTGTTCGCAGTGGTACATTGGACTCAGGCACTCAGACATGTTTGTTAAGAAGCGCTTAGGATTAAAAAGCGAAAAAATAAATACATTAATCTCGTGTTTAAATGATTCGTCAATGGTAGTGAAAGGTCGCGTTACGAAAACAATCGCAAATAAAAATAGGAGTTTTGAGAAAGAGATAAATTTGCTTGTAGTAAAAAAAATTACAGATCTTATACCGCATCAGGTACTTAATGTAAATATTGAGGTTTCAGACTTAGTACCATTAGCTGATTACAGTTTTAACATTCCAGGGAACATTGATATGTTGTTAGGTGTAGAGGTATTTTATGAATTATTGAGACCGGGGAGATTTATGCACAAAATTCAAAATTGCTTTTACAAAATACAGTGTTTGGTTATATCGCCAGTGGAAGTGTAGATCAGGGAAATGAGTCTAAGATTCATTGCGGATTTATACGCGAAGAGGATTTAAATAAAACATTAAAAGGGTTTTGGATATTGAAAATGTAGATGTAGAATTAAGCAAAAGTAAAGAAAATTCTATATGTGAGGAACATTTTGTGCGAACGCACTGGAGAAATGAGGAAGGTAGATACATGGTAAAAATGCCCCTTAAAGATGATCCTTCGTGTTTAGGTCAGTCTAGGGACATTGCTCTTAAAAAACTCAGATCGCTGTGGACTCGCTTGTTGAGAGATCCAAATTATCTCTCTCTGTATCGTGACTTCATTCATGAGTATATTCAACTAGGACATATGAAGGAAGTTAAAGAAGAGAAAGAGCCTGAAGTGGCATATTATGCAACACATCATGGAATATATAAACCAGAAAAAAACTAGTACTAAATTAAGAGTTGTGTTTAACTGTTGAAGTTTAACAACTAATGGTATTTCACTCAACTCTCTCCAGTATAACGGTGGAGTTATACAAAAAGATTTATTTTCGATAATGATCGGATTTCGAATTCACGTATATGACTTAACAGCCGATGTGAAAAAAAAATGTATAGGATGATTTTGATAGATGAAAGTCAACACAGCCTTTAAAGAATCCTATGGAGTGATAGTGCTAATGAGCCACCAAAGACCTATGAGGTGGTAACCGTTACGTATGGTATGGTACGGTCAGTGCTCCCTTCCTAGCACTGAGGACACTAAAACAGCTTTCACTAGACGAAGAGAGTAATTTTCCATTGGCAGTACCTGTGTTACGTGAAAATTTCTATATGGATGATGTGTTATGTGGAGCTTCGACATTAAAAGAGGCTAAGGAGTTACAACAGCAGCTGTTAAGTTAGAATATAGCGCCACCTATCGGATAGGGAGAGAAACTCTCACTTGGCCATCTGGAGTCGGCTGAGCAACATGCCAGAGCATGTATTAGAACTGAATTTAGTTAATAACTGTCAATAAGTTGTTGTAAATTAGTTAATTGTTTTGCTATATACATTAAGAATTTGGACTGTATTAGAAGATGAGGGGGAAAAATCTTGTAATAATTAAATCATTAATTAAAAAATAATAATACGACTCTATTAGATATATTAGTGTAAATGTAAGTATTATGTGATTTTCTAATGTATATTTTCTGTGTTTATGATACATTAATTTACAAAAATAATAATGTAAGACTTCAGTGCTGATGCAGTTGTGTGTAACAAGTTAAAAAATGAAAGGAAATGTATTAATAAGATAATTTGCCTTAGGAATTCAAACTAAAGTACTAATGAAGATGCACAAAAAAAAATTCTTCACCAATTAGTTCCTTAAAAAGATGTTTAATTGTAATTCAATGTAACTTAGATATACTAATGTAAATATATTGTTTGTATGAAGTACAACGTACAATGTCCAATGTACAATGAAAGTTTGTATGTATGTTCGAAGTAATTATGTTAATATTAATTTGCCATAATTCAACTTTTGTCAATAGGTCAATTTCTTTGTAATAATTGTATACTGTGTCTTTGAAATTGTATATTCAATACGTAAATCTAGTATTAATGTAAAATTACTATGTAAATGTCTTGATAGGCTAGCATCCGATGCGGGCCAACTAAATGCCCAGCGGGATACAGTAGTGCGGCGGAGCAACACCTGTAAAAGTCACTGACGAAGTTCTGGTGCTCCGTCCACTTTTCCCTGTCCCTGCTATACAGTCCACTCATTAGATTAGAATAGCACAGCAGCTTATATCGGTTTTGCAAAGAGCAGACATGCAGTTGCATAAATGGTGCGCAAATCATTCGGAACTTTCTCTAAACCGGGAAGAATACAGTTTCTCCGATCCAACTGAAACGAAAACCTTAGGCGTGTAAAGGAATCCAATAAAGGATTGCTTTTCCTTCATAGTTAAAGTACACCTAGTGTATCATATACTAAGAGATGTGTCTTATCGTCGATTTCCAGAATATTTGATCTTTTGGGTATTCTTGGTCCAGTTATAGCCAAAGCAAAGATTTTCATGCAGAAGCTGTGGCGTCTTAAAATTGATTGGAGTGATAGACTTCCTACTGCTGAAAATCAGGAATGGCATCAATTTCTGGTTACACTAGAGAGCATAAACAGTATCGATATTGACAGACGTATAGTGATTGACCAAGCTAAAACAGTTGAGATCCATGGTTTTGCCGACGCTTCTGAATGTTGTTTCGGAGCAGCAGTTTATTGCAAGTCCATCGATTCTTCTGAGAACATTGGTAAAATTAATCTCGAGTAAATCAAGAGTTGCTCCTCTTAAAAGCCTAACGATTCCCAGGCTTGAGCTATGTGCAGCTGTCTTATTATCAAAGTTGGTGAAAAAAATCCTTATCGCCTTGACATTAGAAGTGACTCAAGTCTACTTATGGACAGATTCAATGATAGTTCTCGCATGGATACAAAAGAAACCTATGGACCTTAAGACGTTTGTTCAACATAGAGTGGCCAAAATTCAAGAACTTTCATCTGTTCAACAGTGCCATCATGTGACATCGGATCAGAATCCGGCGGATCTCCTATCACGGGGTGTAGATCTTGATAAGCTAATGCATCACAAATTGTGGTGGTGTGGTCCAGCGTTTCTGGTGGACAGTGACTATTCAACTCGGACAGTAACTAACTATCTCGGATAAAAGTGAGGAGTTCAGTGCCGAACTCAAAACCCCATATCATAAAGACTCTAAAGACACTTAACCAGTGTTGAATGTGACTGTGAATAATTTTTTACATAATTTACTTAAATTAAGTAATAATTATATAATTATTTTACGTACTGTTAGTTATATTTTCAGGTTCGTGAATAATTTGAAAAAGCCCTTAGACAGATTGTCGGGACCATTTAGTGTACAGGAAATAACCAAAGCAGAATTGTTCCTGATAAGAGTAACTCAAAGTGAATGCTTTGGTGAAGATATCCGCCAATTAATAAGGCACGGAATTGTCTTACATAAAAGTAAGTTAAAGAATCTGAATCCCTTCCTGGATTCTGATTTAGTTCTCAGAGTAGGAGGCCGTTTAGGTAAGACAAATCTTACTTATTTTGCAAAACATCCGGCAATATTACTTAAAGTTCACAAATTTACGTTATTAGTTATTGAAAATTGTCACAAAAGATTTTTGCATGTGGGTGCAACCGCATTATTAAGTCGCGTGCGCGAAAAGCTCCGGCCATTAAATGGTCGTTCTATTTGTCGTAAAGTTGTACATGATTGTATTGTATTGTTTTAAAAACAAACCAGTTGTGTGTAAACAAATAATGGGAAGTCTCCCATCAGACAGAGTTGTACCAGATTATCCTTTTAATTGTAAGATATCGTAACCAAAGAAAAGGAATTTTACATAAAATTTATGTTTGCATATTTTTATGTTTTGTGTCGAAGGCAGTGCATATCGAAATGGTGACGGATCTAACTTCCGAAGCCTTTATAACTACGTTAAAGAGATTTATATCTCGTAGGTGTAAATGCGCAAAATTATATTCGGACAATGCCACAAATTTCACTGGTGCCAACAAAGAAATAAAAAGATTTCATAGCCTAATTAAAATCCCAAATGAAACTTTAGCTCATTATTTATCGGCTGAGAATTTTAAATGGAAATTCATACCACCCGGGACACCCAATTTCGGAGGCCTTTGGGAAGCTGCAATTAAGTCATTTAAATACCATTTTAAAAAAGTTGTAGGCAGCGCAAATTTAACGTATGAGGAGTTTTTAACCGTAATCGTACAGATTGAAGGAATTTTAAATTCAAGACCTCTGTGTCTGTTAATAGCTAACGAAGATGATTTTGGAGTTTTAACTCCTGCGCATTTTTTGATAAATAGATCAATAAATTCAGTTATTGAACCTGATTTAACCAATTTAAATGAAAATCGACTTAAGAATGGCAGTGAATAACAAGAATCGTGTAGTTGATTTGAAAAAAATGGCACCATAGTTACTTAAATGAACTGCAACAACGAAATAAATGGAGATTTGAAAAAGATAATATTCACATAGGAGACTTAGTGTTATTGGTAGAGGATAATGTACCTACTCACAAATGGGTTGTAGGTCGAATAATTGATGTGTATTATGGTGACGATAAAGAAATTCCGGTCGTTAAAATTAAAACTAAAGCAAGGTGCATTCAAAAGATGTTTTTCCAAAATGTGTGTTTTACCTGTGCCTGAATGAAAAATGTTATATATTAAGTGTATAAGAGATATCGTTTTACATTGTGTATATGTTAACTTTTAATGAGAATTATTTCTTCTGTTATGTATTGTATTATGGCTAAGTACTATGTTACATAGTTATGTTACTGAAGTGTTATAGTGTTATAATTTGTAAAGTACTGTGAAATGTCTCATATAGTTTAGTGTTTGAATGTTTTATAAACATTTCAATGCCGGGGGGGGCATGTTTGCGCATGCTCTAATAGCAGCAGCGCCCTCGAGCGGAGAGCGGCAGAGATGAGATGAAGAGAGTGGCGGAGAACCGCTATGTGAATGATATGTGAACTCAGTTAGAAGTTATCAATAAACAGTTATAGCTCTGAAAGAGTAAATGTGATTATTTCGTGTAAGAGTATCCTTAACACGCGGTTTCGTCAATCGGCCCGGTAAGAACGGGAGATTTTGTATGTGTGTGTGTGCAGTGTACATTTAGCTAGATTCCCAGTGCAATTGCAAATAAATTTGCTATTACTGGTGCTTTATTATTATTCCCGGGAAACTACTTTCAAAATGACTTTCAAGTCCTCCATAGACACGATCTCAGCAGTTGTTCAGAATACTGTCTTTCGGCAAAGAATAAAATCATTAATTTATCTTTAAAATTTAAACAGTCTTTCATTAACTGAACAAAGTTGTTAATTCATTGCAGTTAATTTTATTGTTAAAATTGTAACTAATGAAGCCATATCTGCAGTTGTAACATAATGGCATTTAGAATTACAGTATAACTGCAAACGCTATTTATTTCTTAGCTTAGCAGTAAGCAAGTAATTAAAACATTTTCTTGAATAGGATCCGGTTTGAATTCCGGCGAAAAATCTAGATGTTTGGGTACCTTTTTCGGTTTCATTCCATGAATATAAACCAGTTTCCGTTCGAAAGTATGTCAAGAGGAAACCTTTACCCGTATATACTTTGTCGCGCTTAGTTAAATAAATCCTAATCTACTTGTATTTTTGCCTGCTAAATGTAAGCGTATTCATTTTATCCAAAATATTTCCTGCATAAGAAATTCGCTGGGAGCAAAAGTTACTTTAACAATTTTTTGGAAATAAGCTTTGTATTTAACAAAGGCCTAATTTATAGTTAATACCATTACTAGAAGTTGCAGTTCACGCATTATTTAAACAGGATGGTCTCAGAAAAATGGCCAGCAACTGTCATAGTCAGTGATTTCTTCTTAACAATACGATACTTGTTATTTTTACCTGATGCTATGGAAAATAGTTCGGTCAAGTACATTCACTTGTAAAAAAAGCCCTTATTTTTTAACTGTTTATTAAAAATATAGACTATATTTAAAAAAGTCTATTAGATAGTTAATAATACCACTGCAAGTTGAAATTTACTCAGTAATTACGCAGGAATGTTCTCGGATAGAAAATAATTCCATTTTTCTGCCTGCTGCTGTCATCTTCAAAAACTTCTTTTTAATAACAGCATAGTTATTTATTTCTACCTGAAGTTATCACAACTAGTTCGGGCAGAAGCATCCACCAGTGAAAAAAAATATTTTAACTATTTACTGAAAATATGAGTTACATTTAATAAAAGCCTACCTATTTCACAATTAATATCACAAGTTGGTGTTAGCTCAATAATTATGCCAGGATGGTCTCAGATAGAATATAACGCAATTTTTCTGCATGCAACGTCCAAAAGCAACCGAGCAGTAAGAACTCTGACATTATTATTTTAAACCTAGTTTAAATCTCGGCAAACGGGCTGGCTGGATTCGCCTTTTCATGGCTTTCGCTACTGTAATATAAAAAACCAGCCGATTTCCCTTAGAAAGTTCTCAAAAGTATTTCTCTCCTTAGGCAGATAGGAGCAGTTTCCCTTAGAAAATCCTCCACGAAGGCATCCCTCCTCTTAGGCAGATAGCCCTCGAGGCTTTGCCATAATCACACACACACACCCTTAGGCAGATAGATAGCTTTTGTGTCAGTGCTTTGCCACAATTCATATAAACTAACCTTCTGCCGAAACAGAAATTTACTGAAAATATGTGTAGTATTTAATAAAGGATTAATTAATGACTTATGTTGCCATTATGATATGCAGTACGTGGAGAAATTAAGCAGGATGATTCCAAATGGAACATACTAATAATTTTTTTATACGCGATTATCGCTTTTTATTATTTAACAAAGTGTGCTAACCATTTCGGATGTCTTTTACAACCATTTCGGATATTTGCAATTAGATTATATAATTGAATTATACAATTACATTTCAATTGTGATTAGATTTCACAATAACTATGAAATTGTAGATTATACAATTACTTTGTAACTATAATTACAGTGTAACTGAAATTACATTATAGTTGTAACTAGATTTCACAATTAAAAAGTTACTGTATAATGTAATTGCAATCGCATGCTTTAATTATAATTGCAGTGTAATTTTCATTGTAAATGCAAATGCATTTGCCCAACTTTGAGTGTAACTGATTCGAAGAAGAAATGTTGTTAAGTAAATTAATATGATGGGAATTCTAGGTGACAAAGGTGGAGGAAAACTGATCGTTTAGATCAGATGTCTCTAGCCATCGTCAGGTTAACAGGCATAGTCTCACGACCATCCCTACAGTGAGAATAACACTATGGGATGAGATGTCACACTAAATTTTATCACTTGAACGACCATGAAAGTAGAAATATTTCCATGAATATGGTTGTATTGTAAATGAAGCAGTGTACAGAAGAAATCCTTCGTCAACGGAGCATTGTAAATAGAGGATAGAGGATATTTGCTTTTGTTGCGGAATATGGAATTCCATCAGTGTTAATCATTATTTGTTGTTCATTGCGTTATCCTACCATAATAAGTATATACTATAGTTTTGACAATATCATAATACTCGCATAGTAATTCAGTATCTAGAAATACGTTGCCCTTTCTTTACGAAATCAGATAATTATGTCATAAATATAACAAAGAGAAATAACGAGCAATAGTAATCGCGATAAAGTAAGCCATTTCGCAGTACGAAGGTTAAATAAAAGTACAAATGAAGAGCTGCACAAATGAAAATGATAAAAAAAATAAATGTGTGCCTATGTGAAAACAATAGGGAAAAATTCGAGAATGTTCTTGCTAATTGATGGCAACAAATTCATTGTCTCCATTTGTTGACCGAAAAGAGAACGAAAAGCAACTAAGAAATAAATTCTTGAAAAGCTGGGTATAAAGGTGACTTGCTTTATAGCCAGAATTTGAAACAGAACCGAATATTTTTACAGACGCGAAACGGTTTAAGGAAATTTAATTCGCCCGTGGAAGATGTTTTTGAATAACTTTTCCAACAGCCAAAACTATAATAAAAATAAAGACTTTAAACTTGTGCACATATGTTTGAATGAAAATACTATAATCCTTGATAAAAACAATGACTAAAAAAATTTTAGC